GCTCGTATTCGACTCTCTAGCCAGTTAGTTGGAATGCATCGGTATCTTGGTACAACCACCCAAATATACCATTCCATCCGACTACGCTATCGTGTTCTTCCTTGGTCTCGTATTCGTGGGTATATAACAAGTTCGAATGATTAGTGGTTGGTTATTGCGTCTATCAAGTTTGCACCAGGACAAATCCTAAAATACAATAAATTGAATTGCACGTCGATCGCGGTCCTTCGTGTCCTCTGGCGTTTTGTTCGGCGCTCGTTGCACCTGGGATATAAATAAAAGTCCTTAATACCACGGAAATGTTTCGAGAAAGTGGGAAACATTTATATATAACTGCGTTGAAAATAGACTTCATGTTTTTTCCAATTTTTGGTAAAAGTTTCATTACGTGGTGGTAAAAAATTGATTTAAAAACCTAAAATGTAGGAGTATTTTCGCATGGCCGGTAAATAAGAAAAATAGTTCCCCGAAAAAAGATTTTGAATCAAAAAATGGTAGGCACATTTTATTTCATGCCTGACGGTTCGACCTGGTAGCGTTTTCGTTTTGCCGGTGGATTTCGTATCTGCGCATTACCAGGCACATCGTCAAGAATCTCAGTAATTCGGCTACTCATCGGTTGGAGATGGCGAGCTGAAACGTCTTTTATGATGTGGTTGCCTTAGAAATAAGCTGGTTTCAAACGGTTGATACTAACAATATATTAACATCCGTTACCCGCAGTTATGTAGAATCTTTTCTGCCGCTTGATCACTTTGAATGGCCCATCTTAGGGTGGTTCAAGTGGTCGACGAACGGCGTCGTGGCTAATGAACACGCGTTTTCTTTTGTAAAATGGGGTGAACGAAGACATCAGTCGTTTGAGGTCTAACAGGAGAAGGCCTTACCAAACGCATTGCGTTTCCAAGTCTAGTCACGTAAGATGTTCTGTCGAAAACATGTTTGAAAGTTCAGGCGGAGACAAATTCACCTTGTGGGTGAGGAGTACCCGATAGACGAGCACTGCAGAGGTGCACCCAGTACCTGCTTTTAAAGCGTTCCGACACCCAGTAGGTCAACTGAGATATGTTTGCAGCTGAAAGGGAAGCTTTCATCCGTCGATGGAAACATTCTAGCATGCCATTTGCCTGTGGGTGGTAGGCTGTCTTTCGGAACCGGGTGCAACCTAAAAGTGAAGTTGAAGCGTGAAATGGTCTACACTCGAATTGGCGCCCACGGCTGGTTGTTACGTAAGATGGACATCCAAAGTTCGCGATCCATCTTTCTATAAAAACGCGAGCGACAATGGCAGCAGTAATATCCCCAATAGGTGCACTGCTTCTGGCCACCGTGTAAAACGATCCACACAAGTTAATAGGTAAGCACACTCATTAGACTCTGGTAGAGGTCCTACAATAAAATATGGATGTGGTCGAAACGCATGTCTGGGGCCAGAAAAGAACCTAAAGGGTCTTTCATGTGTCGTGTGGCTTTGCACCTCAGACAGGCTAAGCACAACTAAGCCCACTCCTTAGCGTCTTTGTTCATTCCCGGCAAGCAGAAACGTCGTGATGGTGGTACATACACCTGGATGGGACAGTTTGTGCGATGTGTTGAAGACGTTGTGTCGGCGTCTCTTCGGAACTATTGGGCGTGGTTGACTAGCAGAGACATCGCACAAAATTGCATCCTTGCCTGATCCTAATGGACACCGTTGTAGCTTGAGTGTTGTGGGAAACAACTCATGGTGTAGCTCAAGGTCTTCTTCCTGACACCAAGCTAGTTCAACGAGATCAACGCCTTCAATACGGTTTATCGAGGCTAGTCGAGATAGTGCGCTGGCTACAGAGTTATTCGCCACAGGAACGTGGCAGACGTCTGACATGGACTGGGAAATGTAATCCAGTTGTCGCGACACATGGGGGGAGTATTTGTCAGATGCCCGGCCTAAAGATAAGGTTAACGGTTTGTGGTCTATGAAGATAATGAAATCATGACCTTCAACCGAATGTCGAAAATGACTTACAGAATAGTACATAGCCACGAGTTCTCCACCAAATGTACTGTATCTTGTTTCCTCCTCTTTCAGCAGCCTCAAGTGAGAGGATAACGGTCGCCACTGGTTGTCAGTCAACTGATGCAATACCGCTCCAACTGAGTCAGATGCATCAGCAACAATGCTCAAAGGAGTATTGGGGTCGTGATACATAAGCATGGCTGCGTTCGAAATGGCTTCCTTGACTCCAGAGAAAGCAAGTCTAACCACGCTGTCCGGAGTCATGCACCTCGTAGTCCCTAGAGGTAGCTGTGTGAGTGGTCTCGTGACAGAGGCACATTTGGGAATAAACCCTCGGTAAAAACTTACCACGCCAATGAAAGTGGGGAGGTGCTTCACAGTGGTCGACTCTGGATAGCTTATGATAGCCACCATCTTGTCTCCCAGTGGGTGCGTACCTTTGTTTTCAATGGTATGCCCAAGGAAGCTGAGTGATTCAACTCCCATTTCACATTTCTGCAAGTTGTCTGTGGTGCCATGTTTTTCGGTCTTTCGAATGCAAGGTCCAAATGTTTGAGGTGAGCTTCCTTATCTGGACTCGCAGTGAGACATTCATCGATGCAGACGTGAACAAAATCCAAACCACGTAAGACACCATCCACAAAGCGCTGGAATGTTTATGCTGCATTCCGAAGACCAGATGACATGAGCAGGAATTCAAACAAATCAAAAGGAGAAATGATTGCTATCTTAGCGATATCTTCTTCTTTCATGGGTATCTGATGATACGTTTTGACAAGGTGGATTTCGGAGAACATATTTGCTCCGCATAACGTCGCGGGCGGGTCGTGAACACCAGGTGTCGGGGAGCAGCCTAGCGTTGTCTGGAAGAAAAGCCATCGGTAATCAACGGTTGGACGCCAGTCGTTGCTATCCTTTTCAAGAACCACATGCAATGGTGATACCCAGGGACTACTTGAAGGTTTGATAACACCCAGTCCGAGAGTGTGCTTGAATCCACTTTTCGCCGTTTTGAGCTCATCGGGGCTAGACGGCGTGCTTTGGATGCCAAAAGTGAACCTGTGGTTGTCATTTGGTGCATGACACTGTCAGTTATGCGCCAAGGAGTATACTTCGGCTGTTGCAACTCTGGATATTTCTCCAAAACTGCCTGGCGGACGCGTCGCTTGACTGGTTCGTTCTGACGAGAGCTAAACTCGGACCCGCGTGGGTGGTGCCGCCAATGGATGACTTCGTGTTGTTATCCATCAGCCGTCGACGGCGAGCATCTACTAGTAGATTGTAATGGTTCGGCGAGTCTGTGCTCATGATGGGCACGGAAACGTCAGCTAGGAGGAAAATCCAGCGGACAGGTTTACGCAGACCCAAGTTAAGGTTGGCTTACTGTCTCCCAAATGTCGCGATTGCTTTGCCGTTAGCTGCTTGGAGATCGAAGGATGGGTCATGATGACGCTCCTTTGTCGGTGCGGGAAGAACACTAACTTCCGCGCCGGTGTCGACGAGGTAGCGGACTTCCTTTTTAATATCCGTGACGCAAAGCAAACGGCTGTTTCCGCCGGCCACGGTTGCGGTGAACACGTGCCGGTGTGGCAGCTTCCCGAGTTTGTGTCCGTGTTGCAACTGCATGGTTTCCGACATTTTCTGGCTTCGTCCTTGTTGGTATTGTAAAGCCAGCACCACTTAGGATTTTCCACCCCGCCACGTTTAGTTTTTGGATAACCATGAGAGTTGCTGCGATGCGTCAAGGTGCGTTTGTGTGAAGTGCTACGTGAACTAGGACTTCGAGATCGTAGCAACTGTTTAACCGAGTTGCAAGCCTCGTCACCTCTGAATCCTGGCTCTCGGGTTTATCGCAGACGGAATATACGCTGGAGACGGGTCTGCTAGAGATCTCCGGTATTTTATCTGCTGAGACTGTCAGGTCATCGAGTGGAACTGACCGCAGTGTCACCAACACGGTTCGCACCGGTTGTGGTAGTTTTGAGAGAAATGGTTCTCGGAAAAGGCCGTTGTCGAATGTTCGTGCTCGCATAACTTCTCGCATGCATGCGAGGACTTCAGTGGCTGTGTTGCCTCTTGGCTTGATGTTATGAAATAATTCGCCTAGGCGCTGGCCATCTGTGAGATCGCTTTTCTTCAAGAGTGCGGCCTTGAAAAGTGTATAGGGATCACTTACTTCAGGATTAAACATGTGTGTCGTAACATGCTTGTTCAATTCCTGCAGCAGTGAACGTGTGACGGCAAGAAGTCGAAAGTGAGGATCTGAGACACCCTGTTCTCGAAAGTCTGCCTCTGCATACAGAAACCATGTTTTCGCATTGTCTGGCCAATATGGCACGAGTTGGATCATGTTCGTAGTCGGCTTAATACGAATAAGCTTGGTGGTGTGGTCGGACATGAGAAAGTGAAATGAAACAGTATACGAATATAAAATGGAACAGGCTCACCAATTCAATATTTGCTTTTGATCGTGATATGTTATCACATCAGGCTCACCAAATTAGGATTTGTTCTGGTGCAAACTTGATAGACGCAATAACCAACCACTAATCATTCGAACTTGTTATATACCCACGAATACGAGACCAAGGAAGAACACGATAGCGTAGTCGGATGGAATGGTATATTTGGGTGGTTGTACCAAGATACCGATGCATTCCAACTAACTGGCTAGAGTCGAGTACGAGCAATGCAACGTAACACGACAGCATGTTAAATGGCGAGGATGTCTGACCGGGTGCCTTCAGCTTAGCGAGTCCAGTTAAACTATCAAGATCGGCATCATTGTGGCATGCCGTCCTACGCTTCGCTATTGGTTTTGGGAAATCGTGCTTACGTTGAAGTGTACATGAAGACACATGAAACTCCTCACATTTGGGGTGTAGTAGCCTACTGCGGTTCTTGATTTCCTCTATCGCCTTTTTAATCCAGGTGGCTTATCATAAAGTAAGCTATTGCTAACCAAATTCTACGTTAACCTACATTCAGTTCAGCATACTATTGAATGTCAGACTTATTTAAGGAGGTAATTCTGAAGTATGAGACTGGAAAATGTGTCTCATGGGATAAAATTCGGATGGATTAGGCGATAGGCATTCAGGCTGAATCAGAACAGGATGCAGATTTCAGTACTCCAACTCTTGTTGTAGTCGAGAATGCTGTTTCAAACTAGGAAGACGCGAAGCCGCTGAAACTTATGAGTTGCTAGCTGACTTCTAGCGGATGGAAGTGGAAAACTGCTGATCATAGCCAGAGTTAGGGGATCAGAGAGGGTCTTGTCAGACTGGTCTACTTCACTGATTATTCCACTGCGTAAAAGAGGAGAGTAGTCTTTCAAAGACAACCATGGGGGAATCTGTTTGACTAGTATCATGTTCTGGATCGCTAGGTTCATAGTTGCTGGGGCCATGAGTGGAACACAATAACAGCAAACTCGAGAAAGCTATGCAAAATTCAGGCCTGAGAAAAGGTGCAATTATCACACTTCGACCCTCCATCAGTCTCTAGAACAAAGTAATTCCTACTGGCGACCGACACTTGTCACATTTCTCGACCAGAAGGCAGCATTTGTCTCTGTTGACAGTGAGGTGTTATGGCAGTGTCTGACTATGGAGAGAGTACAGAGGAGACGTACAAGGCTAATCAACTCTCACTACTCGAACTCACGCAGCCATGTGGGAGCTTATGGAGAGCATTCATCTGAAATGGCAACCGGTTGCGTCCACCGCGAATGTGCAAATTAACGATTCTTGCTTAGCCTGGCCATAGACTTTATGGTTGACATTACCTAAAGTATATCTGATCTCTCGAAGATAGACGCACTTCCCGAAAGTCGTGCGGTTGGCTTAGGGTAGGCACACAATATTTTAGTACAGTGACAAAATGAAGGGTCTGCTGAAGTCAACGAGCAGAAATTTCTTACTCTGTTCTGAAGGGAGTTGTTTTTCGTCCGGGGCTAATGAATCAAAAGTGGATCATTTCTATTTTGTTTTCAGAAAAAGAGACTTTACGTGTTTGCAGGTTTTTTGAAGTTTGATTGCTGTGGGGAATGTTTTAAGCATAGGCAACTTTCCATATTCCCAAATCTCGTAATGCAGTAAAGGTTAAGGGGAGAAAGTGGAAAATCGGGGAAAATCGAGGAAGAAAAGCAGACACCGATGAGAAGGTCGCATACGGAAAGCTGAATAGCTGGCGGACAAGTAGACTTTTGGAAGACAACGAGCGGGAAAAGGGCAAAGCCGTTAGACATGCAGCTCAGCCACCATCGAGGCAGTCGTGTTAATGTAGAGATTACAATATTATGGCAATTCTGTTGCATATTATTTTGCACTTTCACACGTAATTTCGAATTTGACTGTGTAAAATGATAAGTAGTCATAAACTTGTTTAAGTGCACTCCTTAAACGATACCATTGATTTCCGCTCGATCCAATAAATCTAGTGTTCGGTATGTTCCGTATGAGAGTAGACTTAAGATGCAGCGTTGTTCCACTCAATATTTTGTCTAAGAACTGTAAGAACTCATCTGTCGCTGGCAGCTTGATTTCGTTATTTCACAGAAACGTGTGGATTGTTACTGTTTTGCCTTTTATAGACTAAGCAAACGATTTTGTAAAGGCATTTCTAATGAGTCCAAGCGACTAACTCTAAACTATCGACATGATGTACATTTCCCCCTGGAACCTATGCAGATTTTGTATTAAGGATTTGTTCGGAAGTTTATAGGGGACTTCATTCGAACAGCAGTGTCACTTGTTCTGTAATCCTGAGACTTAAGAAATGTGAAAGCCATCCGCACTCTGACTTCCAAAAGAAGTGTCGCAGTGTAACCGCTGTCACAATATGAAAGGCCAATGAAAACCGCATATTTCTTATATGCGCAAGTTCAGTTATTCTGATAGGTCCCTCATCTGCTGTTTGCGAATTTCCATAGATTATATCTGGATGTTTAGTTGTTGCATGCTGGGCTTCTGTATTGCATTGACGTATATTTCAGTATCGTGCCTATTGGTTCTTGTAAAAGACCACCACGAGATTCTCGTTAAACCCATTAACTAGATGGGATAATGTGCCCCAGAGACGATGTTGAGGTTAAAGACATCATACGTGGCATACCTCAGAAGGATAAGGCCGTTCTAGGGTTCGAAAAAAATGCTTGAGTGTGGTAGTTCTCACCACAATATTTAAACGAATACTTTAGATTCCTGGGTGATAGCCATAAAGTTAACATCTGCAATGCAGAAATTTTGTGGTTGCAAGTATCTGAAGGTTAAGGGTGGGAGGTCAAACTTTCATGATGGTCCTGTTTTGTTATCAGTTCATCAGCTTCGCTTGCTAAAAAGTGGCCACCGCAACAAAAAAGAAGTATAAGCTGGTAATAATTCCACTCTCTCTGAAGAACGAAAATGACACCGTTCTATATGTTTCGGTCATCGATCATTTCAAATTGCTTTGTCAGTGATGAGCTTCATAAAACTTCTGAGGGTTACCCCAGGTTTTTTATGGCTCATAGACAGAAAAGAGTTTTTTTTTAGAACACTGCTCAGAATGGATAACCAAAATCGCCATGTGAATAAAATCAGTGAACTACCAAAATATTTTGACTGGTGTAATACACAGTGTGTTGTGAGGTCGGAGAGTTGAAGTTTCACTCTTATGTCGAATAAACTAATCTAATTTAAAAGTGCACTTTGCTCACGTGCCGGAGTATTACTTTTTGTTCAAGGAGAGAGGCTGTATGCATCCTTAATTCAGTTTCTCACTCAGTTTTACGAGCAAAGTTTGGAATGCGATGTCAGTCACTCAGTAATTGTCCATTCCCACTATTTATATATGGTACACGTACTACTGAGACTAATTTTTAAAGTTAAGATGTGTGCAAACCTTCGGTATATTCATCCATGAAATTTTGAGTACGATGAGACTGCGGATTGAACCTCTTCAGAAGTACCTATATACAACCTAAAATTGGCGTTATTGTCATCATCCTGTATCATCCTGGCTCGGTGTTTTCACTGATTCCTTACAAAATCTCTTGTTCTGTGGTAGATGGAGAGGCCACTTGATAGTGTTAAGGCATTGTGACGTATAACTCTAAATTCACTTCCCATCAACCCCGCTATATGGACTGCAGGACGTTGACGTTTTCAACTTAATAACTGAAAGAATTCAGTTGTCATATACACTACTACCCCATGACAAGTAGCTAACAACTTCGGAATGTAAAATTTGGGGTTGGTAGGTTAACCAAACGTTAATCTAGTGTTTGTTGAATAGTTAAGCGTTGTCTCAAGGTCTAAGCTTTTGGTCCTGAATAATTGTTAAGTGGGTATTCTACAGGTTTATGACCTTATACTATTGGAGTACGTATAGTTTTGACAGTTTTGAATAGTTTCGAAGTATGGTTGAATAAATCTAACTCTTCGTATTAAGTTTACGAGCTACATTCATACTAGTGTGAAGGACTCAGATGTGATGCAATCTGATTAGTCTCAATCACCGATTAACTGTCTTCAAGAAGGGCGATAGCTCCTGTGATAACGACAAAGGGATCAGCGTGACAAATGTACTACGATTCTAGGTTCTGTCATCATTAGACGTGTGAGCAGAGCTAGGAAATAGTGAGGCCAGGAAAGCCAGGGAGGTTTCTTACTTGGTCGTGGGTATATCGATCCTCCGCCGGGTTATGGAACAGGCACGCTTGCCAACGCCTAACATAGGCTGTATTTCTTGACCCTGAAGGCGGCATTTAACCCTGTCTACCATGAGGTGTTGTGACAGTCTGACTGTGAAGGGAGTGCTGAGAAAGTACGTAAAGCTACTCAAAGGTCTCTATTCGGACTCACACAGTCGTATCACTGCTAATGGAGAGTAATCATGTGAAGTGATCATCATCATCATCATTATCAACATAGGACCAGGCATTACTGCGTAACGGTCCGAGTTGCCACACCTCATATCAGCACATCAAGTAAAAAGGTAGTGAGGTGAAGGATGAAGATAAGTGAATGCAGTCAAAAGAAATATAAAGTATGAGAAGAAAGGAAAGAGGAGTGACAAAATAGTGAGATTCGGTATAGCGTTGTTAAGATGAGGATAATGTGTGTATACATCTGCGCCACTGACTTCGGTTCTGAGCCATATCACCTAGGGTCTCCAACCACTGGTTCCTCTTGTCCCGTGGACCCCAACCACCTAGTCTGCATCGTCCTACATGGCTTAAACCAACAGTCAGAGACTTCATACATTGGTGCCATGTTTTAGTCTGGCCACCTCGGGCCTTTTTCCAGCCTGAACCCACCTCAGCCAACATTGTGTGACGAGGCAATCGGTGACTAGGCATACGTAGTACGTGTCCCAACCATCTCAGTCGATGAAGGTTCACAACCTCGTCGACTGACTTACCTCTTCTCCCTAAAACTCTACACCTAACTTCTGCATTACTCACATGGTGACACCACGGAATACGTCCTATACTACGAAGGCAACGGTGGTCAAATACCTGTAACCTTCTCATGTCTTCCACTTTCAATGGCCATGTTTCACAGCCATACAGTAGAACAGAGCGGACTGCTGTGCAGTACACGCGACCCTTAATAGACAAACGAATATCACGGCGGCGCCATAGGTGGCGCAAATTGGCAAAAGCCAATCGAGCCTTTTGTATCCGTGCAGAAATCTCATCGGCAACTAACCCACCGGAGTTGATCCTACTTCCCAGGTAAGTGAAGTGGTCAACACACTCAACCACTTCACTCTCTATTGTTAACCGCGGTACCGCTGAAGACCAGTCCTGGAGCAAAAATTTGCATTTGGGTGGTGAAAATCGCATCCCAAACATTCTCAAATTCCCACTCAAAGTGTTCAGAAGACTCTGCATCTTGTCAGCGTCTTCACCTAACAGGACTATGTCATCTGCATATTCTAGATCTAAGGAAAATTCACCTGTGATCCGGTCAACGTCTTTGTAATTAGGTGACGAGAGGGAAACCTCCATAAGAATATCTATGATAAAATTAAATAAGAATGGGGATAGTGGGCATCCTTGACGGACACCACTTGATGAGTATAGCTCCCTGGACAACTCACCATAGGCTCTAACATGCCCACAAGTGTTCGAGTAGAGAGCTTTCAATAAGGTGATGTACTTACTAGGCACGCCTTTCAGTGACAGACACTGCCATAAGACTTCTCGATCAACGGAGTCAAATGCCGCCTTCAGGTCGAGAAATACAGCTATTGTCGGGCGTCTGTAAGCATGCCTATGTTCCAGGACCTGGCGCAGTGTGAATATTTGGTCGATACATCCACGGCCAGGTCTAAAGCCTGCCTGGTTTTCTCGGGCTTGCTGTTCCCGAGCTCCACTCAGGCGTCGGAGAATTATAGAACTTAGGATCTTAGACACTATGTTTGTCAGGCTGATTCCTCTGTGGTTATCACAAGAGGACTTCTCGCCTTTCTTGAAGACTGGGATGATGAGTGACTTAGACCAGTCGGAGGGGATCGTATTTGATTCCCATATACTGGCTAACACTTCCGTTAGCCTGACTAAGAGAACTCTACCACCATTCTTGTATACCTCAGCAGGTAGTCCGTCTGGTCCTGCTGCCCTTCCCCGTTTCAGGCTACCTACCGCTTTCTCAACTTCTTCTAGTGTTGGGGGACCTGTCTCTATGTCCCATTCAGGGTCCGACTGGATAGCGGGCAGCGCAATGGTGGCTGGAGGCCAGTTAAACTGTTCCTCAAAGTGTTCTGCCCATCGTCCCAGTCGCCTTCCCTGCGAGTGAATCGCCGATCCGTCCTTCTCCGCTATAACCTCACTAACTGTTGTTGACCATTTCCCCCCAGTCTCCTTAATAAGTCTAAATAACTGTCTACTGTTACCGATCGCCGCTGCCTTTTCCATCTCTTTAGCCTTTGCTGCCCACCACTGTTCACGATCGTTGCGCAGACTTTTCGTCAGTTTATTTTTAAGTTGCGCTCGCTCTTCATTGTACTCAGAGCCTGCAGGGATGCATTCACGTGCATCCATTAGTTTGGAAGAAGCTGCTGATATCCACTGGCTCTTTTTAGCCATTATCTTGGAGTCGGCTACAGTCTCCAGTGCTGCTTTTACAGTAGACTGAAGATGGCACCAAGCTTCTTCTGGATGAGTGACAGTCTTTTGTTCCGATAACTGCCTAGCCAACTTCTCACTGAACACGGCTTTGGTGTTTTCGTTGTCCAGCAGAACTCGTAGTGGTTTTGTTGCCAAATTTTTTCTACGTCCATTGAGACGCAGGCATATACGTGCTCGGACCAACGCATGATCGCTGTCCAAACACGTACTCCAGAAGGAGCGGCAGTCTTCCACCGATCCTCTCCAGCGATGACTAATAGCAATGTGGTCTATCTGTGTCCATCGCTGAGTCGAGCTCGGTGGACGCCAGGTCAGACAGTGCCTTTCTT